AAAAAAAAAAAAAAAAAAAAAAAAAAAAAAAAAAAAAAAAAAAAAAAAAAAAAAAAAAAAAAAAAAAAAAAAAAAGTCAGACACAAGGTTCAGAGGGCAAAACCTTAACAAATTTCAAGTCTATCTTCCTTAACCACGAATATATCCGTTGAAATTTTCAAGTCCTAAATATATTCATACAACTCCTTAACCAACCTATCAGCCATAATGTTGTAAGGAATTGTTGAAGTCAATAGATTGATATAAAAGTTGAATTGTTTTTAAATTTATTAAATTGTGGGTTTGACAAATAAATCCAAATAAATCACATGTTAAATGTTTTATTCGTGTTTTTTTTTATATATTTTATTTTAATAACTATTGAAGTTTATAAGTTTAACATCGATAGCAAGGTTCAAACCTACCGACACCAAGTCCAATAGATTTCAAATCTCTCTTTGACTACTCGAATATATCGATCTTTAATGTTGTAAAAAAATGTTAAAGTCAGCGGCTCACAATATATAACCTTGAATGTAAATTTACCAGAATGATCGATTAAAATAGTCATAATGAAAAACGACTAAATATTAGAATATGAAGCGAAATTTATTTGTGGGTTTGATCTTCTGAACCCAAATTTATGTTGCTTTATTATTTCGTTTGTTATTCAGCAATTTCAAAGTTTTTTTTTTCCTTGTAGCCGACTTACGGCCTTTATGCTACTACTACTGTGATGTGAGCGATTCAAATTAAGTTGTGCAGGTAAAATGAATTCCACTGTGGAGTCGTATGCATTGCACAAAGGATGCCTGTACGATTGTTAATCCTATCTCTTTTATTCTCTTTGATTCATCACGATCATGCGAGATAGAGAAAACCATTTATTAAATCATTACCGTAATGATTCATCGACCTAGAGTCGTATGCACTGCACAACATAGAGCCTTATTGTTTCATGTCATGAGTCTGTAAGTTTCAATCAAGCGTATTATGTACAAGTACCATGCATGAATACCCTTTATGAGCCCGTCATCTTGATCATACAGCATGAATTTGATGTTGGATAAAACCCACGATCGAAATATATCGAAATAAATAAATAAAATAAAAAGAACAATTTGAAGGGGGAGTTTCTTAGAACAGAAGAATAGTAAGCACTAAGCTTTTCAATTCACTTTGTTGTTGTGAATAAAAAGTACGTCTTGAAGACTACTAACAATTATCGCTTAAAATCTATGTCGAGAATCTTCAAATGTCGGAACAATTTTTCTAAACTTACTCAAGTTTTCACAATCTCGTTTTGTTCATGATCATATATATACACGAGGTCCCACAGTTTAGATAGCATAGGTTATAACTCGTGATGCATCACATCATCCACATAGCTGGCATTTATTCATTATTTAAAATCATAGCTACAATTCTTTCACCTTATCGTATCATGATTGACATACATACATCATACGCGGATTCTCGAGACAGATCTCATAGCATAATAAGCCTTGTAACATACACACACCCCGGTTACTCATGAATCCTACTTACACATGCTTAAAGTAATCTCAAATCTAAGAGCCGGAAATCCCAAGTCCATCTAAATCGAAGGAAATTTGATGTGAATCAGACCCAAATCATCTTTTGACATGACAAAAATCCTCGAATTGTTAATCGTTAACCATTCGATATTTTGATCCTTGAATCGATTTGAACCCAAATAGAATCAGGATCGCACCAGACCAAAGCTTTAGTCGTTGTGTTGAGAATGAACGTTTTATTCACGCTGAGGAAACATTAGAAATCAACTTTTGACGTATTTAAGATTAATCAAAACTTTTATGAATAAAGTTTTATTGAATCTTTAATCTATTTGCTCTGACTTTTTCATGCCAACTCATATATTTGTTAAAAAATATATTTAAATATATAATATTTTATTTAAATTATATCCCAAGACATCTTTCATTTAAATTTTAAATATATATTTTTATTTAATGTATCTAATATATATTAATTATTTTAATATTATAGGTATCAACAAACATATATATATATTATATATATTATGTTTAATATATATAATATTTTATATGATTTGAATCTTTAAAATTAAATATATTTTCTTTTTTGTATTTTATGTTAAATATTATTAAATATTAATTTTAACGTTTATTTCTACTAAATTAATATTTTAAGTGTTACCGGGAAGATTATAAGGTATATAAAATTAATTAATTAATCTATTTGAAAAAAAAAAAATAAAAACAAAAAATGACATATATTGTGTGTGGGCCCTCTGATCCCCGAAAGAATAAACGAATTTCAGATCCAAACCGTCCAATATCCAGATTCCATTTAAACTCCATCTCAACCGCCAATTCCCTCCTCCCGAAAAAACTGGTTACACGTCAGCTGACAAAAGTCTCCTACGTGGCATTAACTGCTTCTAAATTCCGGAGTTGACGTCCGAAGTATAAATACTCTGAGCAGGAGACTTGCCATATATTTATTGCAAAAAAAAAAAAAGAAAAAAAAAAGAAAGAAATACGAAAAGAAGCCGAAAAACAAGAAAAATGTCTACGGAGCTGAGAGAGGGACAGTGAGACAGTAGAACTCCGACGACTTTCTGTTCGATGCTCGAATCCATTACAGAAGCTTTGAAATTCAGTGAGTTTCAGCGTCTTACGCTTGTTCTCTTCTCTTTATGGCCTTTTATATTGCTTGAAACTTCACAATTTTGGGGGTTTGTTGCTGTGAAATGTTATGGATGTGTAGGATTAGGGTTTCAGATGTTCCTGTGCTGATCTTGTCTTTCCATTTTGGATTTTGAGTGATTTGAGTGTGTGTTTTTTCTATTCCGAAGCTGTTTTTGTTCGTGGATTTCAATTGTCTGTGTTGATTTTGTTATACTTTTCTCAGGTCCAAGTGGAGAGTTTCTTTTGTGGAAGGAATTTAATGCATGATTCATCTTATTTACTCCCACTTTTGAAATTTCTTGGTTGATTTGGGATCTTAGGTGTTCTCTTTTCTAGTGTAACTCTGCATGTTATTGTTCGATTTATGTTGCTTGCTTCGAGTTTGTCTTACTTTCTTAAATTTTCTGTGCATTCCTGAAGAATTTCTAATGCTAATAGAATTTAATTGGTTCCTTTAGTTTTTATGTTCGGATGTGAAGTGAATTCTTTGTTATGGTTAGGTTAAAATTGGATAGAAACAAAGATGAATTCAGACCTTGTTTTCATTCACAAAATTTTTTAAGGTTGAATTACCAATAGGGTCTTCTAAGAGTTGGGGGGGGGGGGNGGGGGGGGGGGGGGGGGGTGTTTAGTTCGTGGTGATCCAGAAACAGTAATTTGAAACAAGGGGTTTAATTGAAAATATTGTAGTTTTACATATCTCTACTGTTTTTTTTAATGTTCTTTGATAGGAGATTTAGAGCCTGAAGACATTGAAAATATGTAATTGCTATTTTCAAATTTTCACTTTATAAGTCACAGAATACAAATATAATCAAAATACTAATTTTTCATAAATAACCCCCTCTAAATATAAATCCATTGAACTCAAGTGAATCTAGAAACAAGAAATTGAATCTGGATAAGATACCAAACAAACACTTTTATGGCTTGGCTGTATCTTAGAAGTCATCCTTAAACCATATTTATCCCTATATGTAAATTCACCATTGGCTTATTGTCATATAAACAGAAATTAGAGAACTTGTCACATTTTCATTATGATGACGACTTGTAATGATATTGGCGATTTACTAGATTCGATCCACTTATAATGGCCATATCGAAACCTATAAGCGTTGAAGCTAAAAAAGAGTAGGGATCAAATTGGCAATTTAACAATTTTTCCCCAAAATAGTTGGATTGAACTCGATCAAAATAGAATCAATTGTTGCATCAAACCTTATGATGTTCTCATTTATAATTGGAGTATTATAGTAAAATGCTCATTCTTTTTTTATTTCTAGTTCACACTTGAACAAAAAGTTAGCTCCATCCATAGCAAACCTATCTCATGCCAAATGAAATTTAAGTTTTGAATTATTCATAGCTTAAAATCTATGGGCATCATAACTTAGCTGCCTCTTCCATCCTCTAGCATTCCCACAAGAAAATGTTGATTAGCAGATCAGTATGTTCAAATTGATGCTTTAGGTACCTTAAAGATAAAGATTGTGATGTTCTCTTACAGAAGCACAATAATTTAAAACACTTTCTTGAAGTAGTCTACACCTACAAAGCAAACTACTAATCTAGTATTGAATCTATTGGTACTCCTAATTACAGACTTTTACCTGCTCTTTTGTCTCTCTGTTTGGAGTATTGATGTAAATAGTTGGGCGTCATTAGAGTAGTAGCATTAGATTCAAAAAGAGGCATTATATATTTTTTTTTACTTTCCATCGTGCATGTTCTTTTACATGTATTTATTCTTTCTTGTTGAACATTCATATTGAATGGTTACATACTTCTGTAATTTTTGTTGTTTTATTCATTTCAGTAGGTGAAGGATGTGCAAGTGAAGAGATTTTGGTTTTCTGTAGATTTAAATTTGAGCTAAATTGATCATGGGTGAAGAAGATACAACGAAAAATACCATTGAGAAAACAAAAAATGAAGCCAGTGGAGAAGATTTGAAAACAAATACCAGTGAGACCATGGAAAATGGGAACAATAAAGAAGATAAAATGAAAAGTATTGTTGAGACCATGGAAAATGGAACCACTGAAGATGATAAAATGACAAATACCGTCGAGACTGTGACAAAGGGAACCAGTGAACTGGAAAAAACCAACGAGACTTTGCCTAAGAGGGAGGAAAATGGAGTGAAAGAACCAGAAATTGAGCAGGGTGCTGGTGTGAAGGCAGAGGTCATGAAAATGGAAGAAGAGCCCAAGATCAAGGATGATGAGGAAATCAATGGAGAAAAGGCGAAGGATAAAAAGGAGGAAGCTAAAGTTCAGGCAGTGGAGGAAAATGTGAATCCAAATGATAAGAAGAGTGAGCAAAGTATGGATATAGAAAATGAAGGGAATGAGGATGTCAAAGATGGAGAGAATGAGGATGTCAAAGATGAAGTAACTGAGGATGCCAAAGATGAAAGAACCGAGGATGCCAAAGATGAAGGACCTGAGAGTGCCATGGATGAAAAAACTGAGGATGCCAAAGCTGAAACTGAGGATACCAAAGATAAGGTAGAGAAGGTTGATAGCCAAATGGAAGAGGATGACAAGGAATTGAAGGATAAAGATCCCAACGAGGGGAAACCAAATAAAAGAAGAAAGAGAACGGGTGTGGCTAAATCAAAGGGAAAGAATGAAGAGGATGAAAAGGAGGAGGCAGAAATAAGGACTCCCATTATTGATCGCCCTGTACGTGAGCGCAAATCAGTTGAAAGGTTGGTGGCATCAATTGAAAGACATTCTGTGAAGGAATTCCAGATTGAAAAGGTATTATATTTTATTTGGTCTTTCTGGAATGTTTGGTATGTTTTTAGAGGATTGATTCTATTTTTTTTGTTGGAAACTGTAGGGCCGTGGTACTCCACTTAAGGATATACCCAATGGTATGCTATGCATTTTAAAACAATCTTCCACTATGTTGTTATGCACCCCATTTTGCTTTTATATAGTTCTCTCCAACATGTTTATGACGGTGTATTGTTTACTGTGGTTTAACATTTACTTTATTTCTTGCCCAGATTTCTTTGAAGCATAAATTGTTAAGTCATTATCCTTTCCTTTCTATCAATCAAAAGAGAAAAGTTACCATTTTTAATGTAACAACCCAAGCCCACCGCTAGTAGATATTGTCCTCTTTGAGCTTTCCTTTTCGGGCTTCCCCTCAAGGTTTTTAAAACGCGTCTGCTAGGGGGAGGTTTTCACACCTTATTAAGAATGTTTCGTTCTCCTCTCCAACTGATGTGGGATCTCAAATTTAAAGTATGAGCATAATTTATTTTTCCATGCCTTGGATTGTTTTCTGACATAACAACTGAAGTAATGAAGCCGTTAAAAGTTTTCTGACCCAAGTCATCTTTTATTTTGCTTCCTGCGTATGCTACTTTTTTATTGACATGATGAATTATATATATATATATATATATATATATATATATATATATATATGTGTGTGATAAATGAACTCTGAAAAAGAAGCCTTTTTGTTTTAGTGGCATTCAAATTGTCAAGGAAAAAGGCTGATGACACCTTCAGGCTGCTTCATTCAATTATATTTGGAAGGAGAGGAAAGGTAACTTATGATTAAGTGGTTTTCTCATAGGTTAATCGTTTAGTTCTGTGGTGAGTAATTCCTGAAGGTGCACATGCATACTGTTAAGTGCAATTTCCAATGTCTGGTTTATGCCTTCTTGGGAATGTAGTTATTGAGTATTTGTATCTAATATCTGTTGCTTTCTTTATTCTCCCTTTCCTCCAGGCATTTCAGATTAAGAGCAACATATCCAGGTTTTCAGGTTTTGTGTGGCATGGAGATGAGGTAAACTATTGTATTTGCTACCAGTATGAGATGTATGTATCTGGGAGTAATCAGTCATCTATCAGGCCTACAAATCTTTTGCAGAAGTTTCAATTTTTCGAACTTTGGGTCTGTTTAGAACCTTATAGATTAAGCACATTTTCAAAAATATTTTCAATAAAAATGTTATTATCGCTTACATTTTCTTATAGATGATTTCAACAATAAATATTTGCTTCACTATATTCGAACGTGTTTATATTCATTCTAACTATGTTCTTTTTTCCTTTCTGCATGTTTTGAAGATTCTCAGTTAGAACATAGGTTGTTTTTGGATAATCTATCTCTCTCTCTAGAGTTTCTTCACAACTAGCTTTTAAACCAATCCAAGTTTTTTAAAGTGCTTTTATTTTTTAAGATTTTTTTAAAGAACACTTTTGATCATCTATAAACATTCAACAAGCTATGCTAAACCAACTTTCAATTATTAACTTTTCAAAGTTAATCAAGGAAAATTGATTTTGTTTAAAAAGCATTTTTTTCCCAAAAGTTATTCTGCTTACACTATTTGTTTTTTCACATGTTACCTGTACAATCATCAGGTGGTGAAGGCATTATCTTGCTGAGATTTTATCATGCAAGTTCCATTTTCTTTGCAGGAAAAACAAAAGTCCAAAGTCAAAGAAAAAATTGACAAGTGTAATAAAGAGAAATTATTGGAATTGTGTGATGTGCTTGACATTCCTGTTGTGAAGGCTACCACAAGGAAGGTCTGTTCGGTAATCTTTGTTGCTGTACTTACATTCGTAGGTCTGCGTTTGGGACAGTTTTCTCTACACAGTTCATTGAATGAGTATGAAAAGTTCAGATCTAATACATGGTCAAATCCTAATAATCAAACAACTGCATTTTCATTAAAATTTGCATCCTAATGATGAGGATTTATTTCAAATTGGATCATTCTTTTTTGCCAATATCATATGCAATCATCACTTATTGCTCATGTACTGAACTTTCGTTCTATAATGCACCTTGGATAATTTATCTATGCTAGGGTTCCCCACCCCCCATAAAAGCCATGCTGTAAAAAGTTCTCTTTAAGAAAACATGATTTGGTGGGATTAGTTTAGGTTATGGTTCAAAGTTTGATATCCATCCACCTTGATATTTAGTACTTTTCTTTCAGAAAATGTTATCGGGATCATTCACTTGTTCAAGACGGCACTCAGTCATTTTCCTCATTTTTTGGGTTTTTTTTTTCAACTAAAAAACAAAACTTTTTATTGAAAAACAAAAAGAGGCTATTGCTCAAGAGATACACACACCATAGGGAGTGAAAGAGGAACAAAAAAGAGAAATAAAAAGTACAAAGCAACGCCCTGGGGGGTGTAAAAATTTACTCTTTAAGATCTGTGTTAGGTGACTTCTAAATGTTATATACTTGGCATAATTGGGTGTCAACGTCCAAGGACTTTTGTAATTATCCATTAGGTCGTATTGTCATAATTGGAAGGTTTATTGTATAGTTAGGAGTTGGATTCGTGAAAATATAAGAACTATTCACATGTGTATAATTTATTTAATAAGAAGGAAAATTATCCGTTAGGTTTTATATAATAACAAAGAAACAATTACTCTTAAGATCTGTGTTGGATGACTTGTAAATGTTAAGGAAATGTTGTGTTGGCATATTTCTTATAAATGGTATTTGGAGGAGAAGGTTTTTGTTGGGGAGATTTTTAACAATGAAACTCAAATGTTCGGTTTTCTTTTTCAAATATAGAATGCATATATATTCTTTCCGTTGCATTAGTCTGATGTTAAGTTTCTAAATTGATTCAGGAAGATATTGTTGGCAAGCTTATAGAATTTTTAATAGCTCCTCATGCTACAACTACTGTTCTCACAGAAAAAGAAAAGGTGATTTTTTTCCCTTCCTGATTGCGAAAGAAAGTTTTCCCAATCGAATGTTTCCTTATATTTACTAAAATCTGGATCTAGTTTCTTAAATTATCTTTCGCATTACAGTCGAGCAATGGTAAAAAGCGTAAACGGGCGGTAAAAGGAGAAATGTCAACTCCTGGAGACAATAGTTCAAAACATTCACCAAAGGTGACATTCTTATCTCTCTGAGAGTATAATTGGTGATTTACTTCTAGGCCCTGTTTTTATCCATCTTGACCCTTATATAATATCATACGTGCAACATCCATTCTGGAACTAGTTTTTATCTTTGCATTTTCCTATTGTGTCTTTATCTTCAGTAGAAGGTAGACGGTGTCCTTGCATTTTCCTCTGATTCTGAGGAAGTTGCTGAGCTATGTTGTTCTTCATGAAAATATCTCTTGGTTTCTCTTTTGTTTTCCGTATTTCTTATTTTTAAAGCAAATTATTTGTTTTAATACTTACTCTCCTTGCATTTCAAAATTTTGGAAAATTATTGCTGGTAATTTAGTGTCTGGCCATAAATAATTGAAATTTAAAGCATTTGAATTGAGCCCTCTTTATCACATGTTGTCATTGACACCTTTGTCTTCAGGATAATGAGAAAATAATTTAATTAGGTGTGTTTGGTCTGCTTTTTAAAATACTTATGGAAGACTAAAGTGTATTTTTAAAAATTAGTAATGCATGGTTAAAATTTCAATGAATGCATTTACCTAATTAAAAATTTTCAGTAATCACAATAGTTTGAGAAATTCTAAGAATAGATAAAAAGATTTATATCGAAAGTGCTTTTAGATGAAGTTTTTAATTAGTTTTCTTCCAAAATTGCTTAGAGTAAATGATTCCCTGCTAGAATCCTGAAGTTATCCTTAGTTTACTCATGGGAGTTTTAACTATCTCATGATTATTTGACCTCCTATGCGGTAGTTCTGTAGTTTATGATTTAAAGAACATTCAAGCTTGTTTAGATGCTGGTTCCTAGGTGCGTTTGAGTCGATCTAATGAGCATTCCTCCAGCCCTGACCAATGGTCCTTGTGGTTGGCCTAGATTTGAAGCAATTATCCCACATATTGCTTCCTCATTTCTCGTGTTGTGCGCACAACTATGAGTCTCCTAGGCATTTATTGTTTCTAAAAAAACATAGATGTCTGTTAGAAGGGCAGACCTCTAAGGAAAGATAGGTAAGAGTACTTGGCCTCTCGTAGTGTGCTTGGAATGCTGTATTATTTTCCTTTGTTTATTAATACAAGAGGTCTCCCGAGACCTCACTTTGCTAATCACAACTGAAAATCTTTAGTTTGCGATAGTTTATCTAAACGTATAGGTTTTTTACTTTATTTTATTTTCTGGGTCGAGTGTAGAGTCGTAGAAAAAGGGGAAATACTGCAAGATCTGAGCTGACAAAAAATTCAAGTGATGAAGATGACGAGTTAGAAGAAAAGGAAGCAGAAGAAGAAAATGACAAGGAAAATGAGGATGGAATCACAGAAAAATCCGATGATGAAATGTCCGAGCAGCCAAAAAGTGAAGATATCAATGACCCAACTGATGAATCTGAGGAAGAAAAACCCAAATCAAGTTCAAAAAGTTCATCTAGAACGAGGGGATCTGTAAGAAAGGCAAGAAGCAAGAAAGCTATAGGCTCCAATAAATCTGATTCAGCAAAATTGACAGCAAAGAGAACATCGTCAAGTCTTGCTAAGGTTGATGATAGTGATGCTAGTCCAAAGGTATTCTCTAGGAAGAAGAATAGTGAAAAAGTAAGCAAGGCCTCAACTCCATCAAAATCTGCTGCCAAGGAGAAGCCAGGTATCTTTCATATCTCATTCAGTTCTTATCTTCTTTTGTTCCATTTTTTTCTTTTCTGGGATATTAAAAAATGGTGCTTTTCATTATTATTCTTCTGAACTCCAAATTTTCTGGTATTATATTAATCTGTTTGGGATCGACAGAGATGTTGGAAGCTGCGATCTAAATTTCATTATTTAAACCCTTGTTGTGTGTTTAGGGAAAAAGATTATTAAAGGGAAGGACAAAACCAAGGAGGAGAAAACAAGGCCAAGCGACGATGAGCTCAGGGAAGCAATATGTGAAATTCTTAAAGTAGTTGACTTCACTACAGTAAGTGTCATTGTAATCATACTGACTACTGTATTGATATTTGTTCTGAACTGCTATCATGTTCATGTTTTTACTTATTAACAGTCACTCGATCGTCTCTTCTCAAGCGATGCATAGATGAGCTATTAGATTCTTTTTTGTGCTATGCAACATATTATGACTTTTAAAGCTGTAGCAGTACATGCATATTCACTTATTTGTATTGAATTTTCTGCAATTGAAAAACCAAAAAGCCTTTACAAAAGGAAGCTGGTTAGGCGATAGTTTTGGTTCTAAATAGCTTATTTTTGTCTCACGCAGGCCACCTTCACCGACATTCTGAAGCAACTTGGTACATTTCTTGTCTATTTGGATATTTTTGTGGTTTGTTGAGTTTACAATTTACAAGTGCTGCATTTAATCCTTACAATAAATAGTACAAATCATTATATCTTCTGTGAGAATATTGAATCAAGAAATCTGGTTGATTTTGAAGTTTGTTTCAGATTTTCTTCTGTGAGTGTAGCCATTTTAAACGTAGCTAGCTATGTGTTTCTATGGACTACTTTTAAACTTTTAGATCTTTTATAAGTATTGAAAAATGGCAGCCTCTAATCTGCCTGTGATTTCTCAGCTCGGCAATTCAAGACAGATCTCACGTCCCAAAAGTCGTCGATAAAACTTATGATCCAAGAAGAGCTTACGAAACTGGCAGACGAAGCAGAAGAAGAAGATGGCAATGCCAACGCCGACACCGAGAAGGATGGAAAACAGGTAGCTCAAGAGGTGGAAACTTGAGCCTAAGAGTTGGCCCTGGAATTTGTCTTTAACATACAAGAAAGCTCTGAAAATCAGTCGTTGTAAAGGTGGGTGTAATTTATAGGTTGGTGTATCATCATCATCATCATCATCATCATGTTTACTGCTAATGAAAGGTTAGTGTTTCTATTAGAAACAAGGCTTGTTATAAATATTGCAGCTCTTTTTTTCCTTTTTTTATACTGACATATAATTCTGTTAGAAATAATAATTTCCATGAATATATATACTGACCATTCAGAAGGGGCTTGAATTCTCTTTGTTTGGCCCATTTATGTGATTTTTTTTAATAATATTTTTTTTAGTTAGGAACATGTCCACTTAAAAAGTAATGGAGCACTTCATTGGTAGTGGCCAATCAAAGAAGAGAAAACAAGAATTATTCAAAGTGGTGGGGGCACGTGATATGCACGCATGCTTTCCAAATCTGTTAAAAAAGTATTTTTGAGAAGGAAAAAGAAATTTCCATATTATTATAACCTCTTTTATAAAATAAAATTAAATAAAATGTAATATATTATTATTTTTAATTACATAAAAATAAATATATTTTTTTAAGACTAAAATAAATATATGATTATTCTTTTTTTTTTTTTAGAAGTTTTATTTTTAAAAAATAATATTTAAAGTTTGGTATAATGGGTAGTATTTAATTTTAGAAATTTAAAAATATTTAATAAATTATAAAATTTTAAGTAGGTGTTAAATAAATTCTTAATAAATATATAAAATTTTTAATTTAAAGAGCGGGATTTGTTAATTTAAAAAAAAAATGGTTAAAATATGTGAAAATTAGAGTTTTGAATATAGATATTGCAGCGTTATTGGGATACTTTTTGTTCTCCATTGGCAGCAACTTGATAACTATCCCATTCCCATCCCCATCCCCATCCCCTACAAGAAGAATCTCTCTCACGCCCAATTTATTTCCATTTCAGAAACCCTAATTCCTCTTCCTTCCTTCCTTCCTTCCTTCCTTCCATGGCGGACTCCGACAACGACTCCGGTGGTGGCTACCAGAAATCGCCGTCTCCGCGGGAGCACGACGGACTTCTCCCGATCGCCAACGTTGGCCGGATCATGAAGAAAGCTCTCCCTGGGAACGCCAAGATCTCAAAGGACGCCAAAGAGATCGTCCAAGAGTGCGTCTCCGAGTTCATCAGCTTCGTCACTGGTGAGGCCTCCGACAAGTGCCACAACGAGAAGCGAAAGACTATCAACGGCGATGATTTACTTTGGGCCATGGCTACCTTAGGGTTCGAAGACTATGTCGATCCTCTCAAGCTTTATCTCCAGCGCTTTCGAGAAATTGAAGGCGAAAGGACCGCGCTAGCCTCGCGTGACTCCTCCTCCTCTGCCTCCGCCGTTGCCGCCGCCGCCGCCGGGGCTGCGAATAGTACTTTCTTTGACGGCGGCGGCGAGTTCGGGGGTGGGATGGGGATGACGATGCCTCCGAATGTTTACGGGTCGAATGGGCCGCGTTGGGATGGGCCTGGGTTTACTACTACGGGTCGGCCCAGGTAGATGGGTGAGCCTAGCCCAGCCCAGCCCAGCCCATTGCTTTTGATTGGGCCCGGCTCTGTACACTACATTCATTACCATTGCCACGACGGCGACGGCATCTGCGAAATCTCCATTTTATCCTCCATAAAATGAAGATGAGTAGCTGAGGGAGGTGAAGCCTTAATTTTATAAAAATATATTGACGTAGATAAATAATATGAATTAATGTATTTTGATTATATAAATATGCATTTTATGATTTTTAAATTTATTATTATTATTATTATTATGTTGAATGGTTAATTTGCTTCCTAATATTTTTAGCATAAGCTTTCTGTCTTGAGACTAATTAAGTTCATTTTGTTGACTCTAGTTTAATGCTTACCAATGGATGCCCTTAAACATTAGCTTAAAATTACTCTCCCGATGTATTGAATACTATTTTCGATTTTGGTTCATTTTGATTTCCGAGTTATGTAATTTGAGGAAAAATGAATGACTGTCTTTGATATATGAGTAAAGGAGGATACATGAATAAACCGAGACTACATCTAAATGAGAGCGATAATGAGAATAGAAAGAATGAAAAATCACTACGGAACCCATTTGTTTTATTTAAAACAATTTTATGTTGAGTGAACTCTTAAGAACTTTCGCACGTGAATGAAGATAAAATATGTTAGAATGACTCGTGTTGATGTAGTAGATGTAGGGGAATGCTGGATCACACAGGTGCCTAATTTAGATTCTGAATCTTAGGCATGGGTCGTTACAATTATTGGACGTAATTGAAAAAAAAAAAAAAGTCGGCTAAATTGGATAATTATTGTATATAAAAATTGAAAAATAGTCTTTTTTGCTTTTCACTGTTTATGATGGTTGACTATTATTTCCATAATTGCAATTATTGTACAACTGCTTTTTGAAAAGTTACTCAATTATCATCCATTCAATTGTATTTCTTTTATAAACAAACATAATATTTATTTAATTATATCATTTCTCATCAATTTCATATCCAATTTTCCATTTTTTTTAAATCCAATTCATATAAAATAATGCTTCTAATAATGCAATGTAAAGTGATCCATATTTTAAAAAATGTTTAATATTTTTTTAATTAAGAAAAAATATCCACCTTTTCATTTTTTATGTTTTAAAATGATACATTTTTTTTTGTTAATCTCTAAATTTCAACATTTTACCCTTTAATTAATTATTATAAAGGAATATTTTAAATAATATTAATAATGATTTTAAAATGGTGATGGAAAATAATTTAGCCCTTTTACATTAATTAGAACATTAACCTCGAGGACCGAATACAATATTTGAAAAGGGTAAAAGGGTAAATAGACCAAATAAAAACAAAACTCAAAATTTATTAACCAAAAATTTAATTTTTTTTCCCTTATTTATTTATTTTTATATGTGGTTTTTTTAATATGGCCAAAAAAATAAGTGGAAATCTATTTATTTAATGTTTTTTATTTTCAAAATTTAAATAAATTATGGGGCAGTGAAAATTGATAATTTGTGCCATATAACTCAATTATATTAAATTTATCTATTGAATATCAAATTACATTAACGAATTAATAAAAATTTTATTTATCATACTTACTTTGTTTTCTGGGTGGGGGACCACAATCACATGCATAGCACAAAACACCAAACATTCCTTCCTTAAAATACATCTTACCCACATATTAGTATAGCTTTTGTTTATCTTTTTAACAAATCACATGGAAAGCACAAAGCACCGACCATTCCGAAAACGTGATACTATTTTATTCCAAGTTTCGGGTCAAGATTTAAAATCTAAATTATGCACTTAATGACCTCAACATTTACTGTGATAGATAGTCACGTTGCTTACTCCTTTATTCTAACAGTAAATACTATTTTCTTTCTTCTAAGACTTAAAGCTATCATAACAACCCAACACGAGTCTTTTCAACATGTTGTCAACAAGAGAGCACAAAACATGTTTAGCTATAGAATTTTCAAAAGATGGCTATCGGTTCAAGGATGCAAGGTGCCCCTATTTTTTAAGGGTAAGAAAGAGTAGAGAAAATACCTCGAGCCGTGAGCTACCGAAAAGGGAGATGCACCTTATTGATATAGATAATAAATTTCACTTTTTTAAGCCTTTCTTAGGTATCTTATCTTCAAGATCGCCTTCATTCGAATATTGTTTTTGATTCGTATCACAAAAATTACTTTTAATCCCTTTTTAAAATTAAAAAGTATTAATAACAAAAATTTAATTAGAGAAATATTTTTAAAAAAATTAAAATGCTTTTTAAAATGAGGTGTACTTTTAAAACAATTTTTTTAAAAAGATAATTTATATAGTTTGACGAAATAATTATTGAACTTCACGAGATAACAGACACGTCAGCCTCAATTGTACGAAAAGCCAGTAATCTTCTGCCATGTAACGACTAGTTTACCCGTGATAGCCGGTCCCCTGTCCCCAACGGTCACTTTTTTAGTTTCCGTCGTCTTCTGTGATGTTTTGTAAACAACTAATAACGTTCAGTTTCTTTCCCTCAAACCTTCCCTTTATATATATTTCACCGTTCACCGTTCTTCTTCATTCCGACCCCATTTTTTTGCTTTAAATTTCCGACCATGGAGAAATTTGCTCTGTTTACTGTTCTGATTTTGTTTTCGGCCTTCACCGCCGTCGTTCTCGGTTACGATTCGCCGGCCGCCGCCCCAAAACCCACTAAAACGGCGCATTCTCCGTCTCCGGCGCATTCACCGGTAGTTTCGCCGCCGACTCACTCTGCATCTCCTTTGACTTCTCCGACTTCTTCTCCACCGGCGAAAACTCCGGCTATTTCTCCGTCCTTGGCGACCCCACCGCCGGTATCTCCTCCGAAGGCTCCGGCGGCTGCACCAGTTTCTTCGCCGGCGGCTAGTCCGGTAGTGAGTGGAGTTTCTCCGATTTTATCTCCGCCATCTCCTCTGCCTTCCGATGCTTCTCCGGTGACTGCACCGGTCGGAGCTCCAGTGGAACCAGAAATCCCGGCAAACCCAATCACCGGAGGGACTCCTGTGGAGACGCCGTCGATATTTCCGTCGAGTAGCAGCCCGCCAATGTCGACACCGGCAAGCCTAGCACCGGAAACGGCAGAGCTGCCTGGAAAGGACGCGTCGGCGTCAGGGAAGTACAGAATCGGGGCGGAGGTTATTTTGAGTGGGCTGTCTATATGGGCCGTTTGGGCCTTTTGAAATTAGGCCCAATTACTGAATTTGTGTGTGAGAGCTGTTTTTGCACAATTATTTGAGTTTATTGTATTATTTTTGACAGAACGTATGTGGGGTTCTTATTTTTATTCAGATTATATATGAATATATTTTTATGTTGGAATTTAAAAAGATAAAATATTAAAATATTAACCATTCTGAAATGCGGGGAAAATTTGGAGGCTGTTGCTGCTACTGTAATGAAATGCGGGGAAATTGGTAACGAAATGCTTGAAGTTCATCTGTGAATCACTTGCATTTTTTCTTTGCGCGTCTTGAATTCGATTACTGTTCTTTGGTTGCTGCTGTTTGCCTCTGTTTCATTTACAGGTTAAAAGAAAAGGAAAGGAAAGATTAGTAGAGGAATGGATATAGATGTAGAATTTGTGCTTCATTTTGTCTTTTTTCAAGCGAGAGATTGAAGTTCGGTTGGAGTGTGAAATTTTCTTTACTGAAATTGAACGTTCTTTTCGAGGT